TTTGTTTATGACAGGGATATTGCTCGAGTTTTGTCCTGATTTCTCCTCTAGGAGATTCATTAATAACCACAGTTGGGCCGAATAGTGTTTACAGTTTAGGCTGTGTGAGAATCTAGGTTAGGTTTAATTGCTGAGGTTTGAGCTTGAAAGCCAAATTGCTTCTAGGATCCTTGTGCTGGATCTGAGAGCACTGAATTCACTTTGCATCCTCCCCCAGCCCCTGGAGATTTCAGCCCATGATGGCAGAAATGCAGCAGGATAAGGTGATCTCTGAAGATTTCTCCCTCCTGGGACAGCTTCCTTACGAAAGTCTGCCAGCACAAAGCCAAGCCTGGAAAACAGATCATTTCTGCCTTTGGATCCACTCTGGGATCTGTAGGGCTAGGAAAAGCAGGCTGTGCAAATCTCATCTGCTTGTCTGCTTGTGTGTTCAGCAGTCTAGTTTTGGTCTGCTCGGGTCTCTTTGTGCTGTTGTCTAGGATCAGCCCTGATGTGGGATGCAGCCAAAGAGCTGCCACTCAGTACTACCCAGAAGGGCTGGTGTTGGGGTTTTTCCAACTGCTGCTCTTGCAGAAAGGAGAATCGTGGTTGCATCTCCATGGTGTGGTTCTGAAAGCTCCAGTCAACAGCTCTCACAAAAAAAAAAAAAAAGCAGCTAGTAAAGACAACCCAAAGCTTTTGCTGGCAGAGACACTGTGAAGTTCTGTGATTTCGAAAAGCAGCCTGGGAAGCTCAACCCCCTGAGCATGCTGCAGTAGGTACAAGGCTTGTTATCTGGAGGTTCAGCTGCCTGGATAGGACTGCAGGTGTCCCAAGTACCTTGGTACTCAGCTTTCCGCCCTGTTCTGCCTCACTCAGGCATTTATGCACCCTCTTTCCCAAGTGCTCACGCACTGCTGCTAAAGGAGACTTCGCTTTGTCTTTAACAGCACAGGTTCTTGAGGCAAATCTTTGGGCGTGCAGCTGAGTGCATCAGCCTGGCAGTTAAAGAAGACATCCTTTATGTGCATAACTTGAGCACATATTGTCCAGGAACCACTCTGACAACAGCCACAAAGCCCCAACATGTCATTCTGAAAGTCCCTGTGAAGAGCAGGAGAGCTCTTTAAAGCCTGGATTCATGAAGTTGAAAGCATTAAGCTTTCACTACTTTCATTTGCTTCAAGGCCAGGAAGAACCAGAACATCATCTATGTGCCCCACTCAATTTGAGCCAGAGAGTACATCTGCAGCAGCTGAGTTTTTGTCTGTACCTTATGTAAACCCAGACACAATTCCCAGTTTGTTGTACTCAGGTCTGACACCGGAGCTTCAAGGTCCTAGCTCAGCTTCTGTGAGCTAGTATGGTCTTGCAGGAGCTCCACAACCAAGACTGCAGAGGCAGGGCTACATAATAAAACCATGTTTCTTATGCCTTCTAAGGCAGCGGGAGTAGCAGGGACGAGGCAAAAGGATCAGTAATCCTGTCCCTTCCTCAGCAGCCAGAAGGAGAGGAATAGAGAAACGCAATTTTACACTGTGGTTACAAAGGTCATCTTGTCACCCAGGTGCCAAGGGCTGAGTCAGTGATCAGATGTTTGCACCGTGACGTTGCACCGATCCGTGAGGAGGCTGTGCTGTGACTAAACGAAATCTCTGGACCCTCAGCTACAGCTGGTGTGCGACTCCTTGAAGCTCCGGTCAATGATAAAGAGGCTCTCTCCGGGAGCTATAAATATTGTCACACAGGTGTAATTTTGCTAGATGCATGTGTCAGAGTTGCTGTTCCACCAGAGCAACTTCATCTATAAATGTAAGCCTTGACTAAGAGAAGTTGGCTTTCACAGCAGGATAAATAGCAAGAGACATGCCTCTAATTGCACATCAGCAGAACTGATCCCTCAAGGATATTGGCTGGAACAAGGTAAAGGAGTAGGATACGTCTCCAGAGTCAAACTGCATGGCAATGTACCAGTCTGGACTGAGCCTGCGAGGGAACACCTGGGCAGTCCTGCTGGTCCAGGGGAAATCTGGTGGAGGTCCAGACTCAGGCCCTAGTCAGCAGGACAGAGAACAGCCCTTTGGGATGTGCGCTTTGCTGGATGTCGGCTGTGTGGGGCCGAGACTGGTTTTGTGGTCCTGCTCTTTCCTTTGAGAAGGACACATGTGCATGCCCCCAGGCTCGGGGAAACAGCAAATGTGCTAACTTGGACATAAAACATGAGTCTTCTTCCAGCCCTTTCCTGGGAGGATGTTTCAAAGCACTTCACAAGTGAGGGTGATATCTCCATCGTCATTTTACATGTGAACTAAGGTGTGAGTGCCTACGAGTGGCAGAGCCAGGTAGGTTTTTGAGACTTTGAGACATCTGAGACTCAACGTGATGCACAGTCTTGGACCAGGCAGTCTCTGCCCTAGCACCTTCCTTTCTGAATCCCCACTCAAAACATCCTGCACAACCCTGAGCAGGCATTTCCTTCAGCAGCAGGGAGAAGGGCAATCATCAGATGCACTAGGACAGACATTCCATCCCAGAGGAGCCCTGCTTCACCCCAACACACTATTCTGTGCAGTGCACAGGGCTTTCCAGCTGGCCAGCTCTAACCTCATCCCCATCACCAGGCTGGTACAGTACTGCCCAGAGCCCCACCAGCATAGCACAGCAGCAAAGAATCATGGAATGGTTAAGGCTGGAAGGGACCCTGAAGATCATCTAGTTCCAACCCTCCTGCTGTGGGCAGGGACACCTCTCTCCCACTGGACCAGGTTGCTCAAAGCCCCATCCAACCTGGCCTTGAACACTCCTTGAGCAACCCGTTCCTGTGCTTCACTACCTCCATGGTGAAGAATTTCTTCCTAATATCTAATCTAAATCTACCCTGTTTCAGTTTCAGTCCCTTGCACCTTATTCTATCACTACAAGCCCTTGTAAAAAACCCTTCACCAGCTTTCCTGTAGCCCCACTTCATGTATCGGAAGGCTGCTACTAGGTCACCCCAGAGCTGTCTCTTCTCTCAGCTGAATAACCCCAACTCCCTCAGCAATAACCCCAGGTCCCTCAGCAGCAGCCTGTGCTGAGGAAGGAGAAGATCTTCATGTGCTACAGCTCCTGGGACTGTGCAACACAACATGTGACAAAAGGCCTCATATCAAACCCTCAACATCTGGGTATCTCCAAGTGGGCTCTTCACCTCTCACAAAGCCTTAGAGGTACATTTAAGGGGGCGCAGGACCATAAGACAAAGGAAGGTCCAGTCTCTCCTTCATCCCCTGCTTCTTTGGGAGACGGTTAAACTGAAGGATGTGTTGAATTTATTTTAAAAAATCCCATCACTCGATTTTCTTCAAGCAGCTGATTCCCAAGAGCCTTGTGACGCTGCCACCCTGGCACCTGCCCAGCCCTAAACGGAAAAGTAAATTCAATACTTTCTCTGTCGCACAAAACTTGCTGATGCTAATGGCTGTTTGCTGAATAAAGAAGTAGTGAAATGATATATAAAATCCCTGAAATTGATTTTATTTTTTTTTTTGCTGTCTTATGCCAGTAGCTCCTATACTACTTTACAGTCAGCCAATGATCCTAACGGGGACGGGGGGTGTTAGTCATCCACACGCAGGTCAGAGAGCCGGGAGCAGAACCAAGCCCTTAAGTCAAGTTGGGCTTCTCCCTTCATTTACCCCATCTGCCTCCGTAACGTGAGATCACTGATGTGTGGAGACCTAAACCCGCAGGGCACTGGCAGAATTAGCTCATCTTTGAGAACTGCTGCACAAAAGCAGAGCATTGTTTATCAACGTAGGTTGTAAAACTTGCTGACACGATGGAGATTCACAGCCAGCTTAGCTATGAAGAGATGAAATTCTGCCTGGTCCTCAAAAAACAGAGGTGAAAGTGCAACATCTCCGCAAATAGAATCCACAAGAAAGCCTGTTATTAGTTAGGACTGGCTTGAAGATGGAAGCAGAGGAAATAATTTTGGAAAACAGAGATTTACACCTTCCCAAACCCAACTCAGTACCTTTCTTATGCATCTCTCGAGTTGTTTGTTGGTTCACCTATAAGCCCATTTACCCCGGAAAGCAAATCAGTGCAAATTAGTTGCAAAAAAAATTGCAACCCCGGGTGGCAAATGTTATTTATGTGGGTGAATAGTTTACAAGCATACAGGAAGAACTGAATAGCTCTGGAACGAACATACAGTTAACCCCAAGGCATTTCTCTTCATCTATTGCAGCTTAGTGATATATCTGTGTGCCAGGGTTGTTCTTAAGAAACACAGAGATGACTGCCCAAGCACAATTCCCTAACAGTGACTCGTGTTTTAGAAGGAAGGTCCCAGTTGCTGGAGCTCACAGTGGGGTTGCACCAGCTCTGTCACTGCCTGGTGTCCCACACCTCAGGGCTACCTCATGTTCAGGGCTCCCGCTGAGAGCTCAGCTGGTGACAACATGTGCTGGGTTAAGCTGAGAACTTCCAATGGCATCTCCAAAACACAATTTTAGGATTTTTGATTCCATGAAGTAGGAAAAAAAAACCCCAACGTTACTCTCACAAGTAAGCTCAAGCTTATCAGGTGTTTCAGACAGCTCCAGTGTAACATGCTGGACAAATTTAGATCTGTTCTCAAGCTACTGAAGAATAACAAATTCTCCCACCCTAATGTTCCCCTACCAATACTGGAAGCCTGACTTCTGACCGTCAGAGGTCAGAAACAAAAATAAGGCGAGCAGCGCACCAGCTCCACAAACTATTGAGGCCAACATTTCTACCTCACCACATAAAAGACAAAAAAATCAGCATGAATGATAAGAAAAAAATCCACCTGTAAAAATGTGCTTAAGTTGAGGAACAGTGATACCACCTAGGCTGAAAAAAACAATAGCAGGGAAAACATGTAAGGCTCAAGTGTGCTAACAGAGGGGAAGTCTACACAAACCCTGCTTAGTGTAGCCTGAGGTCCCATCCTTGCCTGCACGTGTGTTGGGACCTGGAAGATCCCGGCCCAGGAGGCACAAACTTACCTCATGGTGTACAGGAGGGTGCCGTTGTCCACCAGGCGCAGCAGCTTGTTGGGTGTCGTCATGTTGTGGGCGACAGATTTCTTCCCGTTGTGGAAGAAGGTGTCAGGAGTCCAGATCTTACTGGCCAGCAGGTTGTTCAGGGGAAGTATCTTCATGGGACCATCAAATTTCAGCCTTTCATCTCTCCAGGATTGCCGGAAGAATACATCAATAGTGTATTCCTTTGTGGAAAAAGCAGAGGAGAAAAAAAGTCTAGTTTTACTCAGCTTCAAGAAATATCTTCTGTCACTGAGCATACCGTGCTTTGGCACGCCTTGGCTGACACGAAGGGTGATGCAACAAGAAGGAGGCATTTAGAGCAGTGGAGAAATCTGTGGAGGACAGAGGGCATTTACTACATTTTCTATAATGACTTACATATGACGCCAAGATTTGCCTGTCAGTGTTTCTGACCACTGCAGCCAAGCCGCAATACAGCCCTGGGGCCAGTCCTGGGGCAGCCCTGCTGCACCATCGCCTTTATCCAGATGTTGAGGGAAGGGAACCATTGTGTGAAGCTACATGAGAACTTAAAAAGACAAAAACAAAGTTCCTGAAGATGGAATTTGGCCAGGATACTGGTAACTATATTCCTCTTCGTTAAAAAAAAAAAAAGATATTGACATTGTCTTAATGTTTTTTTATTCCTCAGGCCACCTCTCAAAAAGCATTGGATCAAGGACCTCACAAACTTGCCTTACAAGATCCTGTGACTTTCTTTTGCTTCTTTTTCCTTTTTCTCTCTCTTCCTTTTTTTTTTTTCTTTTTCTTCTTTCAGCTAGTGTAGAAACACATTTCCTAGGCCAAACTCCAGTTGGGGCAATTAGAATTGATCTCTTTGAAACCCTGCAGCCAGGGCCAGCTCCTCAGTCGGTGTGTGCAGCCTCAGAAACCACTTGACCAAGCAGCAAAGACGCTACAGCCACCCCCAGGCAAAACTAAATCAACCTGCCTGGTATAAAGAGCTGCTCTTCCCCGTGACCTGATCCACCCTGTGTCTCCCGAGGCTCCATGTCTTCAGCCCATGAGATGAGCTTCACCACTGATCACCTCTACAACGCAGACCTCCTCTTCCTCATGAAGCTCATAAGGTTTTCAGAGAGAGACAGGGACTTTAGAAAATCTGTCTGTCCCGGCTGTTTTTCCCCTGCCACTGCAGACTCATAGTCTTTATTTACAGGTTCCTGCAGGCTGCAGGTCCAACTAAACTTATCATCGTGAGTGATTTCTTTCCTGCAGCTCTCCTCAGCAGCATTTAAAAGCTGCTGCGCATCAGTTTCCTATAGGTCATAGAAATTCCGACAGGTTTTGCAGCAGATGGAAAGCGTCTTGGAAAAGAAATTCATCCCTGCTCCCTGGCTATAGAGTCACTACCGTTCAAATGTGAAGTTTCTGGAGCCCAGCTGGGGGAAGGAAATAGAAGATCCTGCATTCCCACAGGATCTACCCTACACAAGATATGCTGCCCCTTCATGGAAGTGATCTTCATTTTGTGTTTTTAAGCCCAGCAAAGGGATAAAACCAAAGGAATGAGCCTGCATGAAGCTTCATGAGGTAGGTTTGGGAAAAGTCCTTATGAGGAGGAGAGCTATCTTATTCAGAACCCCCTGTTCCTATTTAAAAAACAAGAAGAAAAACTTTTACAACAACTTCCCAGGCCCTGTTTTTCTTCTTTTACGCTAGGAAGTCATTCCTGAAGAAAAGAAAAATCACATTCAGCTTCTTCCCCTCTTCTTTCATACTTCTTTCCATGAGAGCATCATTCCCAAGTCACCCCTTCCAAGGAGCACACAGTTCTACACTACGCTCTTCTCCGCCTCACAGAAGTAACTGAAAACATCAAGACTGAGTCTGTCTCCAGACTCCACGCGTTAAAGCATAAAACTCCCTTGAACTTTTCCATTTTTCTTTTTTTCTTCTTTTCCTGGGGACTGAACAAAGCTGCAAGAGCTCACTACCAGAGATTCGGGCATCCGTCAGGTCCTATCATGCTCTGCTTTCCAAATCCAACTGAAAGAGAGATTAGAAGTCCCTTGGAGCATCTCGGAGAAAAGGTCTATACGTCCTCCTCCACGCTTCTTAGCCAGCTGCTTCTCCACAGCAGCTTTACCTGCCTCTCCTCCATCATCATAATTACAGTCTCTATCTGCATCAAGATGCAGAGGAGCGGCTTTCCATCGCAATGAGCGATGGCTGTGGGAGGGACGGGAGGGAGATCACCAGGCAGATGCGAGCGGCGAAGGAGGGACATCCCCGCTCCCGAGATGAAAAGGAAGCACCGGTAGAAGATGCAGGCTCTCCCCACGCTTCCCGAGGAGATGGGCTTTCTCTCTCGCATTCCCGAGTGCGTTTTAGCACCGGAGCGGCACGCTGAAACGCATTTGCTCTGCCTTTCTAAAATACACGGGATCAAGCCGCACGAAGGGGAAATAATTTATTATTCTCTAACTGCCTTCCTAATTTTAAATTCATTTTGTCAAATCACATCGAGGAGAATACCTTCCTCTTTTCAACACCTCATATTTCTTCTTCACAGTTCATTACACACACTCCCTTAATCAAATACGCTCCACCTTGGAAGTAATTATCAGATACTCCCCAAGGGCTAAGATTGCTGAATATATTATGGGTCTCCGCTGAGGTAGGAAAGCAAGAGAGATAGAGAGAGAACTCGGATGGGATTCATGCTCTTGGCTACGCTGACATCAAGTTAACTTCTAACCTTGGAGGGGAGTGGTCTTTCCAAAGCAACGTGGGGTTGTGAGTTGGGGCTGGCACCTCCACAGAACACAGAGATCCTCTTCTGCCCTAACTGCTGGCTAGCACAGGACTGTCAGTGAGGCAGCTGAAGAGATGTTCATGGCCATGTCAGCACAGCAAATGAAACCCTTCCAGCTCCGGAGGATCTCGAGATGTTGCTTGTGTCTGAGCTAGCTGGTGAGAGCAATGCCTGCCTCCTCTCCCAAAGTGGGCTCCCAAGATTGCCCACCGCTGGCCTGGGCTGTGCTACCACGAGGTCACCTCTTAGACTGAGTGCACAGGAGGGTCTCGGTGCTGAATGCACGACCGTCCTCACGTGGCACCCTTGAAAAGTTGAGCAGCTCGACCATCAACGGCCAACTCTCCTCTGTGTGCCTGGGCGCATGTGGAATATGAGCTGCAATGAACACTGTCGAGAAAGCTCACTATTAATTATGCTCCACAGTCCTGTTTTAATTAGAAGACAAACTGTTGTGGGAATACAAGCCTAAATTCAGACCTCAGGCCTTTTCATTAATAATTTTCCCTGAACATGTCAAAATATTGCTATCAGTTCACTCTTTTTTTTTTTTTTCTTTTTTTGCCTCTCTTCTTTTTAAGCACTGAGGAGCGTTTGAGAGTGAAACGTTCTCTTCTGGTGCTGCCACCAAAACCGGCCACATTCTGGCATCCTCCCCTCGTCCCAGGGAGCACCATTCTTCCTCCACACAGGGTCAGGTCAAGGAAAGGTGGCTGCAGGGAAGGCATTTGTTGAGGCATCTAATGAGTGGAGCATGCTACGTACGGGTCTTGCTCCCGTGGGCAGACCTCCCCGTTTCATTAGGTTGCACTTGCCGAAAAGACCCCGAAGGCTGCAGCATGCTTGAGCAGCACAAAGGCACTGACCCTCTGAGGCTGCATTATCAACGGGTTTCTAAAACCTCAATCCCACCCAAGAAACAGCCCTTGTCTATCCCCTGCAATGAGCTGTCCCTGGCCTGTGAGAAGATGATGAGGTTCTTTGGTGCCCAGGATGGTTAAACTGGGGTGGTTTCTCGTTTTCTTGTCATTTAGGAAAATTTTGCCCAGGTTGGGACACATCTGCATCCCATCCACCCCTCCCCGTGAGGCGACCACCAGTGGCACCTACCATATCTGTGTCCGAGACAGGGCCAAAACTTGTCACGTAAATGTCTGTCTTGACTTCAGTTACGCTGTCTAGGATGGAAATAAAAAATAAAAAAAGAGGAAAAAAAGCAATTAGAAAACTGAATTTGCTTGTTACATGGGGTTTTCTCCTGCCTGGCGCCTCCCTGGTGAGCCCTCAGCAAGCCGACATCGCGCTTTCTGCTGTGCCCTGAACATCGGCTGATTTTATCATTCGTAATTGGGAAAATTCATCTCTGATGTAGCTCCGCTGCTTTCCACACTCACACCGAGGATGAACGTGTCCCTCACAGCCAGACACTGCGTATTTACAAAATGTATGCAGCTACATGGTACATAATGTGGTACAGAGCCTCACGTTTTCAATAGAGGCAAGCCCTGACGCTTTGAAACTCCCTTTTAATCTGAAATCCCTTTGTGTCTCCCAGCCTGACAAACAGCTTAGCGAAGCACCGCCAGTTTTAGGAAACCCTGGGCTTGTTACAGCTTCAGGCTTCTCTGTATGTAAAAAGAATCAATACTCTGATTGCCTTTTGCTGCCATCGTGTTTGCTGTTCTCCTAAGTGCCTTGCTCCTGGCGAGCAGCTGCTCTAGCGAAGCTGCGGCTCGTCTGCATCACACGCTCCCCTGCATCCTGGGCCGAGCCGCCCTCGTGGATGCTGAGCAGCAACCCCACTGCCCCAGCAAAACCACGGAGCTTGGGTTCCCGCCCCGAGTGCTAAAAAAACCTGGGGGCAATCTTAATCCCACACCTCCAGGTCAAGACAAACCGAAGCGCTTTGCACAACGCGGCCACCAGCACGTGCCGAACGGCAAGCGCAGCTCTCGTGCTTGACTTCGCTAGGATTTTGGCGTGTTTCCTAATTGAAATCTCTGCTGCTGCTGCCCCATTTTGCAGCGAAATCGAGGCGCGGTGATTTGCCAGATTCACAGCCCCTACGCTCTGCCCGCTGGGTTGTACTGAAAAAAAAAAATGATGGATGAGGGGCCCTGAGTTCAGCACTATGTTGCCATAAATCCTCACCACTTTGGGGCTAGATCACGCCATTGTGCTCCTTTTGCATGGCATTAGCTGGCTCAGAGCTGCTTTCCCAGTGAAAGAACCAACTGAGAGCCCCAGAATTCACGTTTTATGCGTAGTGCCTCATTTTGGCCACTGCAGCAGCTTCGCAAGTAGCCTGGATGGCCCGTTGCTCAATTCACTTATGGAAATCCTTCTGTCCCCTGACAGTTATTTTGCAGTGCTAGGAAGCTTAGTTTTGTGCTTCAAAGTTTAGTACCAAAAAATAAGATAATGCATTCTGGCAGGGTTTTCTCCTTAATGGCTAAAATATACGTATACATGTCTTTAGTTATTATGGCTGGAAAGCTTCTGATGCAGCCCGTGGCTGATATTATTGTGCTATATAAGTAACCCTTGATCTCGTCTTGATGCGATAAAAAGAAGGTTAAAGAGAAATATGTATGCAGTACACTTTCTGAAACACCCACAAACCAACAAAGCACCATCCTGAAGAAAACGAGCTACTTCTGTAAGACTGAAACACTCAGGGTATTCTCTCCGTCTCCCTGCAAACAAGCCCTAAAATGAGATACACAGCAAAGGAGAACATTTAGTGAAGCGAGGCTCTTTCTGCTAACACATGCAGTGAGAGAAAGCTAATTATGTTTTAGAGAATACACAAACTCTCTTTCCCCTCCCCTCCTGAGCATTCAGTTTGCCCAAGATAATAATTTACACCCGTGGTTACCAGATCAGGATGCGCAGCAGCCAGTGAAGCCAGTCCTTGTAAAGTACAGAAGGAATCGTCGCCTGCATCTGAGGAGGCAGAGGGCAGGGATCCAGGAAAGGACCCAGGCTTTACAATGGGATCCTCTGAGTCCAAGCATGAGGGAAAGGATTCGGGAAGCAACGCAGCGGTAAAAATGCAGAACTGGTTTTGGACACCTTTTGATATGATCCTGTTATTTTTATGTCGTCCTTTATGTCCTTACCATGCTGTAACCTGACTGCCATAAAACTCCAGACACCCCTTCCCGCCCCTTCAATCAGCCAGCAAACTCAACAACAGATAATAGCATTAATAAACGCTATTGATTTATTAATACTGATAATTTATTAATGGTATTAATTAATTACAGCCCAGGTCTGAAGCAGACTCTTCATTTCCAGGTTGCAGACGTACCCTTTGAGCCAGGTCATCAAACCCACCGACCTCAGTGGGACCCCTTTGGTCTGCAAGGCAGCAGCCAGTGCAGGGATGAGCTGGCTTGGGGGCTGGCTTATTCATGTCCCCCAGAACATAAAACAACCGGGCTGCCTGCACCTTTCATGGCAAAAGCCAGACTGAACTTTCCCTGTTAATATGTGCTCCTAAGGGCAGGATTTGGCTGAGATCTGGAGGGATTTCTGAAATTAAATCATTGCTACACAAGCAGGGATTTCAGCAGAGCTGGGAAATCCAGAGATAAGTAAAACACCAGCAGAACAGAGTGAGCTCCAGCCTCAGAGATTTGCTTCCTTCGTGATCCTGCAGACCAAGAGCACCTGCACTGCTTTGCAGGTCTGCCCAAGCTCATCGCTCTGCGGTGGAAAGAGCTTCTCCAGAGAAATCAGGAGCTACTCAGCCAGCCACCCCACTGCCTACCCTCACATCTACCCACCCTGAGCCTCAACAAGAAAAAACTGCTTCTACTTTTGCAGCAAGAGAAAGCTGAGAGAGGAGCCTCTCCTGCCTCTGCTCAGAGACATGAAAGGGAAATTCTTTCTCAGTCCAGACACACTCACGCTGCAGCTTGACTATCTTGCCTGGTTCTCACCAAAGATTTTAGAATTAGGGACTGTACTGTGGAGGATTAGGCACTTTCCTGAGACCTGTTGCACAACATTAAATGGCATTTTTCCTTTCCTAGCATCATCCTTCCCTGTGACTCAAAGTAAGTTGAGCCTTCAAGCCTGCTGGGGAGGCAGGCAGACTCTGTCAGTTCTGTTTTATAGTTGAGAAAATAGAAAAAAATGAGGGACTTGGTTCAGGCAGGAGTCAGGAGCAGGGCAAGGACCAGAGCCCAGCTCCAGCTGCCCTAGGGAAGGGCACGGGCTGGTGCATCCCTGCCCAGCGTGGGGCTGGGTATCACTCTGGGCAGGCTGCACAAACACCTCTGGCCACGTTGCTGAGCCTCACTGTGCCCCAAGCTGCTGCCCAGGGAGACTTGGAAAGCAAAAAAAGATCCCAAAGCAGTCACAAGACTAGAAGAGGAAGCGATTTTCAGGTTCAGTGTTCAAACACAGGCAGAATTTAGAGACCCGAGTGGCATGCCATGTTCCCAAGGCATTTGTCTGAGGCTCATTCCCTTGTCTGGGGGCTTTTCCCATTTATAGGCTTAGTTTATTCCCAAACCGTGCTTCTAGGAGCAATTGTGTGAGCAGGAACAAGGTGCTGCAGGCTGATTAGAGTCAACCCCTTCCCCTATATGGTACAAAGTCCCCTCCCTGCCTGCCAGGCAATGCTGCCTCCAGAAATCCCCCACAGCTGGGCAGATCTGCAATGCAAATGTAAAATAAAAGCTGTAACATCCCTTCCCACGGTGTTACCATGGCACTCCCTACACCTGCCTGCTCTTTAAAAGCTACCCCTCTCCTTCTCCAAGAATTTGCTCCTCCAGATCTAGCTATTTGCGCAGGCGATAAACATCCCTATTAGCTCTGCGTGGAGGGCCAGATCCTGCCACCCTGACCCCTGTGCCAGCAGGGTCAGTCACCTCCCCTGGGCGTGCAGAAGGCGTAAAGCAGCAACGGCTGCTGCTGAGATGCTTCGGGGTTCCCATTTCACCCCAGCTCCCCTGTCTCCCCAGCGCCAAGTCCCCATGTCCCATCTTCTCTCGAGGCAGATCTCCCCCTTCCCGCAACCTCCCTTTTGAAGCGCTCGTGACTCCCTGGGCCCTGCGAGGAGATAGCTATTATTTACAAAATGACGGAGTGCTATTTTTACTTGCTTCTTGGAAACACTAGGAGCAGCAGCAGAGCTGGAATACAAATGACGCTGCCTCGCCTCTCCCTTCGCTGGCTGTCGATCGCAGGGTTGCCTCTACAACCGGTTGTGGGAGGCAGAGGGGGCACAAGGGGCTGAGGAGGCTCTTATTAAACGTCCCGCTGCACTCATCAAGTGCCTTTTGGTTAAGAATCTCGGCCGGTTGCGTTTCAGCTCTTGAGGTTTGCGGATGCTCTGAGCGCGGTCCTGTTTCCCAGGCGGGGGGTTCCCAGCGGCTGTGCCGCCAGCGAGCGGAAAAGACGCGCCTGCATCCAAGAGCTGGAAGCTCCCAGACGATGTGGAGCTACAAAAAAACAGGGGCAAAGCCACTTGCGGCTTCGTGCGGGGGATTCCTGGCTGCTGCGCTGACGTCAGGGAGGTCTGCACAGCCTTATCTCAGAGATAAGCTGGATGGGGACCTCCTCGAGGCTGTGCTCTGCATGGCAGCGCTCCAGCTCTGTCCCAGGGCTGTGCTGGGAGCTAAGGATGCTCGGAGGGGATAAGCCCATCTGTACCAGTGCTTCTGTGTGCCATGGCATGGCTGAGACTAGAAAGGAGGACAATGCTATTTAGGCTTTTCTGCACCCAGGGGTAGAAACCCTCAACCTGCTCCAGGCCAGCTCCTGGAGGTAGATGTTTCTGGGAGATGAACTGCTCTGGACTCCAGCCAGCCCAAAGTCTCATCTCAACCATGGTAACAAGGTAAAAAGCGCAGTAACAAGTTGATAATGCCCCTTAACACCCTCCTAGACTGCAACCACATTTACGCTCAGCTCAAGAGTTTCTCTGCTTGATGAGGTCCCCTTATTCACTGATCCTCTCCCTGGCCAGTCCCCCCTCAAATACACAAAATCCTTTGGGAAGGACTCTCACCAGCCTGCAGTGAGGGCACTGTCACCATGGAGAAAGAAGGGATGCTGCGTAGCTCTCTCCCTTGTCACGTAACCCAAAGCAAGCACACTTGTGAGGATGGTGCTTTGCAGCTAACCCAGCATCCTGGGAAGGGAAATGCAGGAATTTGGT